ATTATCTATTTGTATAATTTTATATATTCTATCTTAAAATCTTGGATCATCTAATAAACAACTTAAACAGTGTTTTGTAACAAAAGAAAATATAAAGTTCAATACAAACCATACTGATTAGATAATATTATATTAACATTTTTAACAAACATAAACATATAAACTTTCTAAACAGGAGATAAAGTTAAAAACCTATTATAATTAATTTACCAATAAAAATTAAGGCTTACTTTTCTTTTCTTAGCAAAGCAATTTGTTTTAAATTCATATCTAACAATTTATTTAGTTTAGCCGATAAATTATATAATTTAAAATTAAGTTTATAACTTTATAAGATTAAGAAATTATACATATTTTAAATTAATCAATATAATTCCTTAATAATAAAATGTAGTTTTGTCTTCATAATTTAGTCTAATTGGTAAAAAATGCATACAAAATTTTCTGGTGATTAAAGAAATATTTACAAAACTTTGTTGGTATATCTGTGGAAACTGAATATTTGGCTAATCAATGCTACAATGGAGATAAATTAATATACTTTTTCATTTTTCAATAAATCCTGTTTTTTAGAAACTGTTATCTCTAAATTATTCGGATCTTTCGTTTAAGATTTTGCCTATCAAAATTTAGAGCTGCTATTTCTTTATTCTATAAATATTTACTGAAATTATGTGTATTTATAATTTTAATATGAAAAGAAACTTTAAAATGAAAAAACCTTCTTACAAAATATTGATTTCAAACACTTATTATAAATCTACAATTAGATTTTAAAACAAGGGTTTGAATTTGTTGTTTTAAAAAGTAATTATATTGATAGGCTTCATATTTAATTGTAAAATAATATAAAAATGATTTATTTTCTATCTTCCACAGTTAATATATTTCCTCCAAATCAAATTTTATGAGAATTATACGTTAGGTTTATTTTTGCATACTAAAATATTGTTTCTTGATCGTCATAATTGTTTTTATGTATAATACAGATATAGTGAATATCCCCAGAAATTAAAAATCAATGAACTGGAAATTAAAGCAATAAACATTCAATCAAATCTAGTCTAATAATTATAATAAAATAAATTAAATATAAAATATATTTTTCCAGTAGGGCTAGATATGGCCAAGGCATGTAATGGCAATAAACTTAGCTAAATCTTCGATCAGAGTTTAGTAGCAAATAGGACTCTGTAGCGAATTCAAATCCATATATTACTTTGAAATTTTTATTTTAAAACATCACTTGTCAAATTTATTGTGACCTAAAGAAAGAAGGGTTATCGAGTTCAGCAAACCTTTGTTTGAGGTCTTGGGTACTGAATTAAATTAAGCCAGATGAAGTCATAATTGCACATAATATGCTTTAGAAATATTTAACTTGAATATTTTATGAGTATTTCCAGATTGACTTTGTTATTTTTTTATGAAAAACTTATAGGTTCGAATAAATGAGTTGATAATTAATTGAATATTAAAAATAATTTGGTATATAAGCATTCAGAAAATAAAATAAACATCTATTTTTAGTTATTGAATTTTTCATTATTATTATTGATTTATTATATTTAAAGAAAAAGAAAATTTGCTATTAATTTACAAAAAAAATTAATAAATTAGATGATTTTGAATTTAAAAGATATTCATATATAATTCTCATCAATACAAAATAGATTAATTTAATGTAATATTTATAGTAAATGGGAATAAAATAATTGTGAAAATGAAAGAATTTAATACTATTAAAATAGGATAATTGAATTTATATTATTTGTGAAATCTAAGATAAAGCTATAATTGTAATGTTGGCAGTTTTATTCTAAATTTCTTGTTTTGTTTTTGAAAGTCTTTTAACTGAGACATTTTGTTTAGCATTTATTTCATCTTCTTTAATTAAACTTGATCTAATATCCATTTTCATTTTAAAAGTTCTTTCTGTAATTCATTCTCATCATAAAAGTGTAAAATTAGATCGATGATAATCTTAAAAAATGAGATGTGATAATATTCAAATTTATTTAAGTTAAAATGAGTATGGTATCTAAAAATTTACTTAAAAATTGACTACCTTGTTTATCCTTGAGATTTTAATTAGAATACATTTATTTGATTTTATTGGTAATGATCAACTTTAGAGAGAAAATTAATAAAATTTGGATTTTTTTCATAAAACAAAAGAGAAGACAAAAATAACTTTACAATAAAATTAAAAACCAGAAAATGGAGTTATTAGTTATAAACCTATTGATATGACTTCAAGCATTGAACTTATAATTTAACAATACATCTATTTTAGATATTTATAAAAAACAACCAAAAATAAATAAGTGTTTAAATTAAATAAAGAAATATTTGATAACTTGGATTAAATTTTTTATTCAGCATTTGATACTGTCACTTAAGTTAAGTATTATGTACTTTCTTCAATTCTTTTATAAAAATTTTATTAAATTAAATTAAAAGAATATCGATATTTTAATATAAAATATTATATTGGGCAGGGATCACATAACTCAATTTAAAACATTGTTGATGCTTGAGTACAAAATAAGTACTTATTAATACATAAATATCATTGAAAAGGTTTTGCTTTAGTTTTATTTATTTTGCTATAATTTTATTTAGATTTTGGAAAAATCTTAACTTAATGATTTTTAGGAATTTGCGTAAGAATACATGTTAAATAGAAAAAGCTTCCATTTATTGAATAATGGATAGAGAGTCTGTGGAATATAAGTTTTATCAATTTATTTAGTTTTATTAAGAATATACTGATCTATTATATGTTCAGCCTAAATCATAAATCCATCTTCTATTTGACAAAGAAAAATATGAGATAACGTTGTTTACTGTTGTGGTAAATGATTTGCAATTATTGTTAGAAATAATAATGGTTAATTTAGTTAGAATTAATATTATGAAATATATTCTCTAATTAATTATAAATAATCATTGGATCTTTTTTTAAAACCGCACCTTTGCTTCCACATTTTTCAATAATAAATTATGATAATTGATTACTTGATTAAAAATCTAGGAACTTTTCTTATCAAAAAGCAAAATAGTCCACTTTTTTCTTAATTATTTAAAATGCTAGAAGATGAGACACTTGTCTCCATAATTACTTCATTGCAAAATATCCATAATTGGAATAATAAGCTAAATTAGAAAAATCGAAAGAGCTTACGAGGAGGAGGATGTGGGTCATCTATTGAGGAAAAAAATATCGATTCAATTATAAATAGAGATTAAAACTTATTAATTTCCTCATCAAAACCCCCAAACTTCATATCAGAACTAAATGATTGTCTAAATCTTTTAATTGAAGCAGCTAAATTGTTTGGTGACACCTCTTAAAAAAACTCTATCCTAATGAAAATTTAATGGTTTAATCACAATAGAGAGCATTTGAATTATTTGTGTATTGACAGAAGAGAAACAACCAAAAATTATGAGTTAATTTAATAGAAATTTGAAAGTTTATTGACAATCCTTACAAGTTATTTAAGAAGCTCAGGGTTTATTTGTTATTAAATTTTATAAATATGTAACGAATTATTAAGGATTCTTTATGCATTCTAATTAGAAAATCCTAAGAGATGCTTTGATATATCAGTGCAACAAGATTACTTAGAAAAGATATCAGAATTTAATACTTAATTAGATATAGAGTAAGCAAATGTTTGGAAAACAGGCATTGAATTTGAAATTACAATTATGAAGATTATGATAATGAATTCTAAAACTAATTCCACAGAAGGAACAGACTTATTGATTAATTTCTTTAAGGAAGCTGCAAAATCAATTGTATCATTTTCACCTACTGATAGTTTACTTTAAACAATAATAGATGGTGGTAAATATCTTCTAAAAAGAGGTATAGAAAAAAAATTATATCCAAAGGAAGTTTATTAAACTTATTATCTATTCTAATTAATGAAATGGTCTATTATAAGATAGTTAAAATCAAAATATTCAGTTTATGAATAAATATAGTAACTGAAAAATATCTTTTAATAATATATACTACTTTCGGAGAATTGGGTTTTACATTTTAGTTGGATATAAATGATTACTGATATTATTTCATATCGACCAATTATTAATAAAACTACTTTATTTAAGAAATTCCCAGATTAATAATTAAAACTATGGAATTCTCTAATAGAAAATAATTTAATTCATTGTGTTTCATATAATAAAATTGAAGCAGTTATGAGTTTATTTTAAGACTCATAACATTAAATTCATGATGTTGACTTATCAAATTTATTGGAAAATTATAGCAAAAAAAAGTTTGTTCTATTTTCATAATTTCTCTTAAGAGGAGATATTACTCAAAATGTTAATAATTGGGACTATTACAAAAAATTTGCATTTAAAAACTAAAAAGATAAAACATAAGAAGACTATGAACACATTTTAGCAAATTAAGAATAAGAAGTATTAAAGAAGTTAATAAACAATATTAAATCTGAGAAAGATGAGATAATTTAAATTCATTCCAGAATTTTACAATCCTTTTCAAACTATTTTTAAGAACCCTCTTAAACGTTTATTAAAATATTCTAGGATGATAACTAATTTTCTATACAGCAATTCTTAGAAACTTATAAGAAATTAATCTTATAAACAAATTATTTTTAAGAAATATCGAAATTTGAAGCTGCTAAATTGAAATTATTAAATCCTTACTTTGATAAATTTAAGATGACTGTTGAATTTTCGAATAATAAATTGTTAATTAAACTATAAAATTTATAAAAATAAATTGATAGTTTTGTTAAACAATAACTTAATGAATTCATTAATATACTTTTAAATTACTTTTTAGATGCTATCAAATTTGCAAGTTCTGCATAAGTTTTCAATTAATATTTAGAGACATAATAACAACAAGATGTCAACAAAATTAAAAAATAATTTGAAATTTTAAATTTTTAAGCCATTTTCACAACCTTCGAAAACTAATTGGATTAGTTTATTATTAATTTAAATACTTTTAAAGAAGATTTTATAAAATTTATACAGCAGAAAGCAAACCCAGATATTATGGCAATCAAAATACCTAATTAAAATATTTTTGATATAATCGAATATAGTATTTCAGGAGGATGGATTAAATAAATTGTGAAGAAGCTTTTAGATGAACAATCAAATAAATTTTTATTATTTAAATCTTAATTCACAGGTTAGGAAGATATATATTAAAATTTCATCGATTGCAGATTTAACATTTTTATAATCAAATTTTTAATGTAATTCTACCGAATACAATAAAATAATATATACACGTTTAATTAATAAATGTAAAATTACATAAGCAATGATGAATAGCCAGAGGAATTGGATGAATAAACTCTTTAAAAAATAATTGAAAATATATTAATTTAACAGAAATAAAAATTGAATGCCTTATTGAACTAAATGAAATAATTACCCGATGAATAGAGTATTAAGATTGGATGTAAAAATTTGTTAGCTTAAATAAAATCTGATTTTTAATTAATAAAAGATGAGAGTAAGTAATATAGGAATCAAGAGCTAATTCACGATATTTTAAAATTCTTTGCAGATTCCTAATATATTATATTTTAAGTTTAAGATGAGGCTGATTAAGTTTTTAAGTTAGATGAACTTTTAATTAAATATGAAAATAAATTTAACGAAATAAATATTAGAAAAGACAATATTAATGAGAAAACTACATAAGGTGAATCAAATCAAATCAACAAATTTTAAACTCCTTTTTTGAATTACGATAACAAAAATTTATAACAAATTCTAAAATAATGTAATAAATATTTTAAAGGCTATTAATAATTATTATGTTTTGAATTAGATCTAATTGAATAATAAAAGATTGTTTGGAATTAAAAGCTAAAATAAGTTTAAACTGCATAAGATTAATTAAATTAAGTGCAAAATATTAATCTATAGATCTAAAATATAAATAGCAAAATTGGAAATTTTTTTAATTCAAAAGTAAAATCTTAAATTGAGTACTTAATTAGAAGTTTAGCTGATTAAAATAAATAAAAGATAGAATATTTTGTTATTGATCTCAAATTAACAGACTTTTTATCCTTCTTTTATTAATTGTCTCATAGCGAATATGCAAAAGATTTAAAAGCAGATAAAGTTAATGATTCTATTTGGTTAAGTATAAAAGACACATACAAAGCCACCAAAAATAAACTTGTTGAACTGTTAGATTTCAAACCTGATTATAAAGTTAGAGAAGGATTAGCCTATAACTTAATAAGACTTTAATACAGTATTTAAGAATAATAGATTAATTAATTCTCATGTAAATATGTTTAGCATATGTGGGTATTTGAAAAAGATTAAAGAGTTCGAAATTTATTGAAAAATAAAGAATTAGTGGAAATTTAGAAATAACTGTTTGCTTAAGATTTTGATAATTTTTCAAGTTCAATAAAAGATGAACTGAAAGAAAGGTTATAAAAGTTGGAAAACTTACAACAATAAATCAAGCTCGAAGGGAATTAGTAAAAAAGAGAGCAAATTTAATAATAGCTAAAAGAAACTTATGAGGAATTAGATACATCATTAGATAACATTTCAGAATTGTCAGAAGCAATCGATATTAGTTTAGTTTTCCTTAAAGATATTTCAAGAGATGTTAAATAGATAAAAACCTAAATTGATAATTTATAAGAATCCGTTAATTAATTAGGTGAAGATATTAGAAAATTACGTGGAAAAAACTATAAAGAATTACTAGAAATGAGAAAATAAAAGTTACTATTATAATCAAAACTAACAGAAGTAGACTCAGTATATATATAACTGGAAACAATTGAATATAATCCTTTTACTGGAAAGAACATTCTTTTTGAAAACAAATTGTCAACATATTTAATGATGAATCAATGGGATGATCCAAAAGGAGAAGTTAATGAATTTATTTGGGAAGAAGAATTATAAAAAAATGAAGGATAAAACGATTAACAAGATTAAAATGATTAATAAGAAAAGCCAAAAAAGAAAGAACTAAAAGATGTTTTGCTAATTTCAGGATTTGCTGGTTCTGGCAAAAGCAAGGCAGCCAGAAAAATAGAAGAATTTCTTTGGTAATAATAAGGGACTCATTCGAAATGGATTCCTATATTTGTGTCCCTTCCAACTTTAAAGAATCCTAAATATAATTTATTCGAATAAGCTTTAGAAACTGAAAACTATTAATTTGATAAATATTAAATTAGAGAACTTAAAGAAGCCATATAAAATAAGTAAGAAAAGATTATTCTCATACTGGACAGTTACGATGAGATGAAATAAGATTGTATCTAGTAAAATTTAATAAAAACTAATAAATTGTTTTAAGATTTAAGTATTGATAAATCTAATCGTTAAATGAAAGTAATTATTACAACAAGAAAAGAAATACTTAATACAGTTGGATATTAAACTTGGTTTTATGGAGATAGTATTTAAACCTTGAAAGAAGTTTAATTGTAAAATTTTAATGAAGAATAGTAGACTGAATATTTAAATTAATATGTTGAATTAAGTATTAAGAGAAAAATAAAAGAAGTTTATGAGTTTGTTAAATCAATCTCTGGATAAAGTTTTGATTTAGAAGAATTTCTTACCATTTGGAATTTAGTGTCATAATAAGCCAAGAATAGTATTAAAAAATCAGAGATAAGTAAATAAGATGGAATTTTTCAAAACAAAGAGGAAGAGCTAATAATTCAAAAAATAAAAACTCATAAGATTTTAGAAGTTTTAAAAGATGAATAAACTACTGCATTACAAAAAGAACTCATAGCTTTGTGGAATGCATAGTAATTTAAGAAATCAATTGAAAGTGTCAAAATTTAAGATTTATTAACTACTCCATTTATGCTAGAAATTGTAGTTTAAGTTTTGCCTAATATGACCAAAATGTACAAAGGGTCAACGTTAATTAAAGATATCTTTGCTTAAAATTTTATGAAATTAAAGAAATAAGAAAGGGTTTCTAAATTTCTAAGGGAATTTTATCAAAAAGAACTTCAAATATCTAATTAGAATAAATAATAAAATTTGATAAGTATTGAGGATGAATAAATATCTGCAAAATAAATAAATGAAGAATAAGAATAATCTAAAATTGAGAAAGCCAAATTAGAAGAAATAATAGATAAATTTGATAAAGAAAATTTTTTCCAGAAATATTCAATTGTTAGTTCATTAAATAAAATTGATGATTGTATTGTTTTTGATGGTTATTCAGTGAAATTAAATCCTGATGATATTAAATTAGTAATAATGTCTTTAAAGTTGAAAAAATTTACAATTTTTGAATTTTATGAGAGTTTTATTAGCTTTTATCATGAGTAATAAATTTAAAAATAAAGAGAACTTGGTAAAATATCTAATTATGATAATTTTGCATTTGATATTTCTTAATTTTCTTATTCTTTAGCAATAGATATGTCTCTAAGAGAACTATCATAAGTAGCTTATAAGCCACAAGGAAAGCTTCAACTAGAAAGTAATTATAAAATCAAATAAACTATTGATGATTGGTTGAAACAATATTTTGATATTGAAGATGAGTATAAGAAACTAATTAGAAGTTGTATTTTATTAAGTGCAAAAGGAAGTACATATTCATTCACACATAAATCTATTTAAGAATTTTATGTAGCAAAATACATTTTTGATCTATTAATTTCTTTGAATGATTTTAATTTAAATTCTTCAGAAGTAGAAAATCAGGACTTGAAGAAAAATTAATAAATATTAATTAATTCTGTCTTTAATAATCCAGATTTTAATATATCCACTGATAATTTCAGGAATGTAATAAACTTTGTTAAAGAAAAACTAATTAGTGATGAAACTATAACTTAAAAATTAATTGATATTGTAAAGTTATCAAAATCAAAAACATGTTGTAGATCAGCATCTAACAGTATTTATTTATTAAGACAAATGAATGTTTATTTGGGAGGCTAAAACTTTAATGAAATATAATTAGATAATACTAATATTTCTGGATTAAGCTTTTTCGATTGTGATTTAAGTTATTCAAAATTTAATAATGTTGAAATAAATTCATGCAATCTTAATTTTGCAGATTTATCAAACACTCAATGGGACATTGTATGTAAGGAAATGGCTTTTCTAAAAGGCCATAAAGAAAGAATTCTAGAAATACGATTTTCTCCTAATAGTCAATATATTGCATCAGCAGGAATGGAAAACATAATAAAATTATGGGATGCCAAAACATATAAATGTATTGCTAATCTAGAAGGCCATACAGCTTAAATTAATACATTATCATTTTCATCTAAATCCTAATTTTTGTTTTCAGGAAGCAACGACTGCACCATTAGAAAATGGGATATAAGAAATTAGAAAACTGAAATTAAAAGCTAGATTATATAAAAATTTAAGGATTAAATTTTAAAACTACAAATATCTAAAGACTCATAAAAATTATATGTTTAAGAAAAAAAGGGTTGCTTCTAGATATTGAATTTATAACAAAATGATTTAACCATAATTGATGATTTGGTTTTCTAATTAGAAAAACCTTCCATGTAGTTGTTTGCATTAAATCCAATTGAACCAATAGTGGCAATTCTTTATGAAACAAATGTGATAGAATTTATTAATTATTTAACAAAAACAGAAGTCAGATCTTATGCTATTATTGATTCTGTTGATGATCCTGTTAGAAGAATGATTTTTAGTTAAGATGGAAAGTATTTTGCAATATCAAGAAAAAATAGTGCTTAAGTTTGGGATATCACCGAAAATACTAATGAAATACTAAGATAATTTTCATTCCCTAATATTATATTAAAGCAAATATACTTTGATTCTTCAGGTAAATATTTGATTTTTACTACAGATTTATTCTTGTTTCAAAGGGAAATAATTAATAAAAAAATATAAAATCAAGAACAAAAAGAAATATGCTTTGAGATTCAAATTTCTACAGATGGAAGATTAACTGCTATAGTTTAAGAAAAAAAAATTATCATAAAAGAATTTCTAACAGATTATATTATAAGAACCCTTCCTTTTAATTTTTAGCCTGGCTAAATAAGATTCTCAAATGATAACTCTAAGCTAGCTTTTTTTTTAAAAGAAAACGACATTATTATGCATTTTCAAATTTTGGGTGTTAATAAATTTGAAATAATTTATGATCTTCCTTGGAATAAGCATCAATGGAAAGATCTTATCTTGTCCAGAAATTTTGAAAAATTCATTATTAATTTTTCAATTTTGGAAAATTAAGTGAATTAATTTGAAGGATCTCTAATAATAGAAAAAATATAGAAAGATCCAAAAAATAGATAATATAATTTAAACATGGAAAAGTTTTGTATTAAAGCAAATAGTTGGATTATTGCTTACACTAATTCTTAAGCCAATTCAATTGCTATTTTTGATTTAGATAAAAGTGAATTAATTCATGAACCTCTTTAAAATGAAAAAAAAGAAATATTAAGCTTTTAATTTTCACCTATTAAAAATTAAATTGCTGTTGGATACAAAGGAGAATTTTTAATTTGGAATTTGGATTAAAAAAAATGCTTTGTAGAAAAAAGAATTATTTTAGAGAATTTAGATATTTTAAATCTTAAGTACTCTACAAACGGTTCAAAAATAGGATTCATTTTTACAGATTCATTTTAAATATATGATTTAGATAGAGAGTCATTAATTCTATTTGAAGAAAAGTTTAAACCAAAAACTGTGGCATTTTCATTAGATGACAAAGTAATTGGATTCATAGATGATAATTAATAAGTAATTATATAGAATTAGAATAATGAAATAAAAAAATTAGAATTTGATAATCAATTGTAATTAAAATTTAATTAAGATTAAAAGTCTATAATTATTGGAGGGAATAATAAACTTATTTTGTTGGATTTAACTACTCTTTAATTTAAAATAGAATAGTTAACGTTTATAAAGTTTGAGTATATCACGTTTTCTCATACTTTAAATTTAATCGCATTACATAAAGATAGAATCTTAGAGTTATGGATGCTGTAGGATCATAAATTTAAATATTTAGGATCATAATTATATGATTAAGCTATAAAATAAATAGATTTTGTTAATGAAGATCAAAATATAATAATTTTAAAATAGGATTTGGAACTTGTCATTTATGATTTAAAATAAATTTAATTTAATTACATATTTGAAGGAAACTTTCAATGTGGGGCATTTTCAACTTTTGATTAGATTGCTTTGGCTCAAGATAAACAAATTAAACTATTTAATTCTCAAACATAAAAATAGGATTCATTAGAAGTAGAAAAAATCTAATATTTGGAGTTTTTTCAAAGCAAATAAAATTTATTGTTATCTATTTCTAATCATGAAATTATTATTTGGGATTTCATACTCAATATCTAAATTAAAAATGTTTAAATTTTGAAATAAACTTAATCGAAATTATGTTTAAATGAAGAATTAATCATTACTTAAGATCAAAATATTATTATGATTTGGGATATCAGTGATATTGAAAATATTTAACTCCGTGGATTACACGAAAATATTTACTCTTTTTCTATCAATGAAGGTTAAAAATTAGCAGTCGGAATAAAAGACGGTTAAGAGATCAAAATTTAAGATCTCTTTAATATATAATTTGGACTTACTATGAATATGAAATAAGAAATTTTGAAGCTAGTTATTAATGATGTCCAATAATTTTATATTTTTTTAACAGATAAGGATAGGCTTTATATTTATTAGGAAAACAAAAAAAAAATAATTGAATTGCACAATTATGTTAGTTAATTTGCTTATTATTAAGAAAAGAATTATATAGCAATTATTCAAGGAAAAAAGATTTTACTAACTGAATTATTGAATGATAAATTGAATATCATAAATACTTTTGATTTTTTGAGAAATTTAAATCCAAATGATCTTCCTACTTTTTCAAATGATGGAGATTATTTATTAATTTATCAATCTGCTAATTTAATATGTTTATTGTCAACTACAAGCAGTAAGAAATAAATTTGTAAGGTATTACATTTCTCAGAAGCTACTAATTCTAATGTTCCTAAAAAAGTCTAAGTTTATACAAATTAAGAAATATCTAATAACTAGCTTCTCTTAGCCCTAATGAATAGCAACTCATTTAAGCTTATAGATGTTGAAAAAGTTAACAAACCATTTTTAATAGAAGCTGATTCTTTATTGCAATTTGAGTTGAGTTTAGATGAAGAAATCGTTTGTTTAGGTTTAAAGTAAGTTATAATAATCTAATATACTAATGTTTTTAATATATAAATGCCAAAAATTTTGTTCCACTTAAATCACTAAAAATTTTTTAAGGCAGTTAGTTATGATACATTTGTCTATCTGAATAAGAAGAATCGAGTCAATTTGTTTTCAGCCTCAGATTAATCTCATACTAAAATAGATATCCCTATTGATAAAATAGTTGGGATTGATTATTTATAATATAAAGACCGGTTAGCAATAAGCACTGAAATGAATAAAATAATATTTTTTGATTTAAAAGAAAAAAAAATTGTTGGATTCTTAAAAGCACAATAAAAATAAATTAATTCTGTGGCAGAATCCCCTGATGGAAGTGCTTTTGCATCTGCAAGTGATGATTTATTGATAAAACTATGGAATATTAAATAAAATCAATCTTCAGAAGTGATGGAAGCTCATTAATATTCGATAAGTGCATTAGCTATATCTTAAGATGGTTAAATTGTTGCATCTGGGAATTTAAAAGGTGTAGAAGAAGAAGTTCCTATTTTTCTTTGGGATCTTACAAATAAAAAATTAATTAAGAAACTTCAAAGACATTAAGATTCTGTTAATTGTATAGAAATTTCATTCTGTTAATAATTATTATTTTCTGCTAGCATTGATGGAACTATAATTGTTTGGAATATTGAATATCCATAAGTAGCAAAAATGTTATATTGTATTGATGAATTCAATTATTCTATAAATTCTCTAATAATAACCCAAACAACTTAAGCATTCGTAGCACTTTGCAATTTAGATAATATATAAAAATTGAGCATAGAGTCAATTAAAAAATAAAAAGAAACTAGTACGACTATAAAAATAAAAAATCTTTTAACAAGTGAAGACTTTATTTTATAAAATTATAGCTTTTAGACAGTTGATAAGTTTATTTATGTTTCTGAAAAAAGTAGATTAGTTATGCTTAATATTGAAACAAAAAATTAAGAGACCTTTAAAAAAGAATATGTAACTTAATTTATTACTTCAAAAGATAATAGTCTGATTTTAGCTCAAACTGGGTATGGATTAATATTTTCTTTGAAAAAGAACACTAAAAATTAATGGATAAAACAAGATTTATTATTATTTTCCAATCAAACATTTTTTATGTTAACTCCTAATAATAAATTTTTATTTTAAATGCTGGATATAAAATAATCTGGTTAGGATATTATTCATACAAAAATACTGATACATGATTTTAATAAATTAAATTCTTATTTTGGAGACTTAGTATAATCTCATATATTTAGGGAATTTGAAAATAGGGTGTGTAAATTGATGAAAGACATGTTAATATCAATTTAAAATACAGAAATACAAATAGAAATTATTAAGGAAAAAAAAATACTCAAGAAAATTTAAGGATGTTCAAATCCAAAAAGTATTTAAGTATCTGAAGATCGCAAATATTTGGCTTACAATAATGAACTTGAATAAAAAATAATAATATGGGAGATGGATGATCCAAATAAAATTATACAATTGGGTTTAACGAATGAAAATTTAATAATGTTTTAATTTTCTAGTAATGACTCAAATAAAATATATGCTTTGTATCTTTCAGGGATTCTAAGAAATTGGAATGTAGCAACTCAAAGTTCCCTATTGATTGAGATTTCATTTGGATTAAAATAATACAAATACTTTTATTTTTCTAGCAACCTTAAATATTTAATATGCCAAAATGAAGCAAAAAAAATAGATGTTTTTGAAATAGCAAACTCTAATAAGTATTTTGAGATCAGTGTTCATGATATTTAAAGGACTGCTTTTTCCAAAAATGAGGAATAATTCGCACTGGCAATAGTGTAAGAAGAAGATTTTATAATTTTAAAAAATGTAAAAGTTTAAAGCTAAATTAATTGGATCAATGTAAAATTTATAAATTCGCATATTTCTTTTACAAATAATGATTAAGAATTGATATGTTGCTCTGGAAAATCTATATATTTATGGAGGATAAATGAATCCCTACAACATGTTTTAATTGGATTTTGGTAGATAAATACTTATGGTTTTGAATAAGTTTGTTATGATTGTTAAAAATAAACAATAATAATTTAAAATTTTTCAGGAATTGAGGAATATAAATTAATTTAATCAGTTCAAGCATTAAGTCAGGAAGTGTTTGAGAATCTCAATAATTAAAAGTCTGTTTGCTTTTCCCCTGATAGTAAATATTTTATTCATTTGAATCCCTACTTAAGGATTTATCAAGTGGATAATCTTAAAATGTTAATTGAAAACAAAGATTTTGAAGGATAATCTATTTAATTTTAATAAAATGAAATTTTAGTAATTGCACACAATTAAGAACTATAGTTTCTCAACATTACTGATATTAATAAAATAGTAGAGATTAAAAAAATAAACTATCTAAATTAGATATTTGACTTTACTTTAAGTTAAAATTATTCATTAATATAATTCAAAAATAACAATTAAGATTAAGAAAAGGAGCTTGATCAAGCCATATTAAATAAAGTATACTTAAACGATTGTACTCTTTTGGCCATTTTTTATACTAATAGAAAACCACAATTTAGTGAAGATGGGAAGTATCTTGCATTGAATAGGTCAAACAAGATACAAATCATACAGATTTAAAATTTATAAAAACTAAAGTTAGAATAAACTTTATTTTTAGATAAGAAATGTAATTACGGGTAGATATTTTATCATCCTGATGGAGAATTAATATTCTTATTTACAAATCAGAGTATTTCTATTTTAGATTCTCATACTTTGAAAATAATTAAATAATAGGTGATAGATTTTGAAGTAAAAGAGGTTTAAATTTCTATGAATTGGAAATACTTTGCTTTAATGGGTTCAAATTTTTTTGTGAAGATTTTTTTATACCTCAATTAAGAGGAGATTACATTTTAACAGCCAATTAATTAAAATCAAAATCCAATTAATTGTATTGCTTTATCTCCAAAAGGAGATTTCCTCTTGACTGGTTGGCAAAATTAAGAAAATTTCACAAATTTGATTTCCTTATGGAAATTAGAAGAAGGTAAAGAATTATGTTCAAATGATTAAATAACTGATTAAGTTAAAATTCTTAAATTTTGCCCAAACGGAATCAATTTTGTAGCAGGTTTATCAGATGGATCGGTTAATTTATATTCTATTGACTTAAGATAACTCAGATAAAAGTAGTAAGATTAATACAATATATGTTGTTATTAAACGTTTGCCAAATAATCATTATTGTTGGCTCAAGAATGTAATTTAACATAAGCAACCATTTAATCAGAAGAAAAATCACTCATAGAACTTTTTTGCTAAAAAGGGGCCATAAAAACATAATTGAAAGAGAATTTGAAATAAAAATTATAAGATTATAAAAGTTTAATCATTTCATATATTTATTTATTTTCTGTTTAATTAATTAAATAAAATATTTCAAAATTATTTTATTATAATTTTTATAATTTATTTTTTGATTTGAATTAAGAATTCCAGCCAAGGATATTTAACCAGACTAAAAATTATTATAAAATCACGTATTGATTGTCTAATTTGCTCAAATGAAATCTAAATACATTGTAAGAGTATTAACTCATTTGTGAAATAATCTATACCCTCATATCTAAACTTAGTAGTGTATTGATGTTTGATTAAATCCTTAATTTTTATTTTAATTTGTATCCAGAAATTAATTGCTCAATTTAAAAAATCAATTGGATTTCTGGAGAATAATTGGAAATAATTATATTATATTTGACTATTTCTTTTTGATATACTAGTCAAGTTGACTTATTTGATAGTAAAAACTAAAAAAATCTTGTTCATTGATAATTAACTCTCATATTTTGAAAATTTACACAAATTTTTTGAGTTAATTAAACTAATTTTAATTGTTTTGTGATAATTAAATCTAAAATTAATTTTTAATTAATAAATAACTAAAGCATCAAAATAAAATTATTTATATTACTTAAGTAAATTTAAGCATATTACACTTATTAATTAAAAGTTTCCAATTAATTTATTAAGAGTAAATTAATCAATTTAAAGTAATAAGTGGAAAGCCATAAAATTGAATTTCAGTAAACAGGAAATTATGAAATTAATACAAAAAATCAAAAATATTTGTGAGTGAAAAATAAATATAATTTGCAAACTCAGAAAAAGATTATAAGGAACAATATATTTCATAATTAGTGGGTTGATCTATTATATGTTTTAGGATATGAATTTAATAATCTCCCTTAAATTTAGCCTAATTTAATCAGTTAAAAGACATATATTTAAATAAAAATAGTAACATGCACAACTAATATCTTATTTGATTATATAATCAGTATTATAAGATGAACTAGATGGATCCCTAAGTTTTGTTCCTGGAGTATATTGGCATTCTGTAGCAGCATTTTATATTTATGTGCATTTATTAACAAAAATAAAACAGTTTAAAGTATTGTCTAAATTTCCAGCTTTAGTACATATCTACTCACTACTTATGTATGATGAACAACTTGTCTTCATTTCATAACAAAAAAATTTGAAGACAGATGCAATGCTTTTATCCTTAAGATGAGCGTAAGAAGCGTCTGTCTTACCTGTGATGGGTATTTGCCGTAAATAATTATGTTATTTTAAGGAAATTCCTAATTAATTTTTGAAATTCCTTAATATTATTTCATCTTAAATTTTAAAATTTCATAAATATAATAATAAGCAACATTTTTAATAAATATGAAAATTAAAATGATATTATATTAATTAAAGCATATACAGGAAATGAGTTATTATTTGATATTTTAAATACTTTAATATTCTGTTTTACTAAAGTTTCTGAAAGAACGCTATGAAAATGATGTAAATATACTATTATAATTATAAGTAAGTTTAGATCAAAATTTATTAAGTTCTTTAGAACTACATAAGGGATATGATAAACTGTCCTTTTAACTTCTCATATTTAAAAAAAATATTCTATCCAAATTGAGTAATTTTTTTAATTCTCTTACAAAGACTTAACTCTTAAAATGCTAACAAAAATTGACTTTATAATCTTACGATTTTATATCTATTTAGTGTCTAGTTATTTTAATTCACTTTTTATAATTATTTAACAGCACTTTTTGTCTTTCTGTTATGTACTTCAATATTCTTCAATAATTTTCAGCTTATTTCCCAATAGTTCCTTATTTTTAAAATTATTTTTGTTACTTAAGATATAATCTCTTAATTTTAATTGTGCTTATCAACAATATTCCATCTGATTTTATAATGTTTAAAACTACAGATAATTAATATAATTATATTAATTCTAATATATCAAATTTCTTAAGTAGATAATAGAGAAATTTTAAATATTTTAAATTTACTAACTATTGACAAAGCTGTTCTTATTCTGGTTGATTTTAATGATAAACTCTAGGCATCTATTTCTATTAATAAGCAAGCAAGCTACGAAATTGTCATATTCTACTATAATACGTTTGGTAGTAGCACAAGGCAGTAAGGAGAATAGATTCAGTAATGACATAAAAACGACTTGCATTTAATTATAAAAATTCAGATCTAAAATTTTATTAGCAAAATGACAGCAGATATTGCAAGGCATTCGCTACTAAAAATCTGATTGCTCTTAGAATAACCAATCAAGCAAACCCTATATTTGAGAAGAGAACTATTTAATTTGGCATTATTGATGTCAATTAAATATTCATACCCTAAAATTGCATGAAAATATCATGACTGAAATAATAGCAATATCCTATATTGAGTGTTTCTTATAGCAATTATCAGTTTACTTAATTAACAAAAATAAAACTTAAGAATATTAGAGGCGAAATTATTTCTAATCATTATAAAATCCACCAATCTAAATTACTTCTATTTTTATTAACTCAATTAAAATAATTATATTAAAAAAATTAAGATATTATTATTTATTAATAAATTTAATCTAACAATTTTATGGATTAAGAGAAAAATTTCAAACATCTCATTTATTCTGTACTAAAAATAATGATAAATGATTCTACAATTTCAAAAAGGTTACATGTGAGTAAATATTTTCAAATTTATATTTTTCATTAAAATTAAAATATTTTAAATATTCAAATAATAAAATAGTTTAAAAAACTTTGAAAAATGAAAAAATTAGGTTTAATAAAATATTGATTAATTTTAAATTGTAAATAGACATTAAAAAAATATTTTTGAGATTTTATTAATTGTAATTCTATTAAAATAATTTTAAATGGTTAAGGATGATAAGTTTTTTACTTGTCTAAAATATATCATGGAAAGTGAAGGAGGAGATATAAACCATAAAGATGACAGAGGAGGAGCTACAAGATAAGGAGTTAGTTAGAAGGCATATAATAATTATTAGAAAGAATTGGGGAATAATGGCAAAATAAAATCAGTACTTGAGTTGACAAAAGATTAAATTGAAGATTTCTATTACTATTACTATAAAAAATATAATGTTGACAAAATTGAGGATATTAATTCTTGTTATCTTTATTTTGATACTGTCATCCTTTAAGGACCTGATAAAGCAGCAAGAATGGCATAAAATGTATGTAATATAAAAGTTGATGGTTGTTTTGGTAAATAATCAATAACATTTTAAGAATATAGTTAAAAATAATCCTAAATAAGAAGTATTTTTTAAAGGATGGATTAATAGGGTGGATAGGATTTATAATTAAATCTAAAATAGTACTATTTAATAATTATACAATTAATACTAAAATAAAAGAACTTAAGAAAGATATGATAAAAATAATTAATAGACTTAAAATCTTAATGGAATAGATTGTAATATAGATTTAAGTGTATTAAATCGTATAAAAGGTGTGAATAAGATGTGTGCTAGATTTCTAATTGAAAGTTAAGAAAATATAATTTTATCAGACTTAGCTACAGTTTTAAGTGTTTTACATGGTCCTAAGTTAAAGGATGAACATAAAGGTATATCATTTAGTTTAGATCCAATAATTATACCAAATCAATAAGAATTTAAATAATAATAAAAAGTTTGTTGGCCTGATGCTTATGTTGAACGTAATATTATTTAAGATACTGAATTGGCTAAAATATTATTTGATGCAGATTATTTATTAAAATTAATGAGTTTAGGTGTTGAAAGTGATGGAAAGACTCCTTTTAAATATCCATAAGAGTTATAATAATTAGGATTTAATTCTTGTTCAAATATGGGAAAATAAAAATAATAATAAATGTTGTATAGATTTTGGCTTGTTCCTTAACAATGTTTTTATACTTAAATTAACAATAAATATGTAATAGATGATATTTAGGTTGCTTGTTAAGCTAGGTAAATAGAAAGAGTAAATAATAAATTAAAAGATAAAATATGCCAAGATGTTAATGATACAGCATATTAATTTGCAGCTAAATTTACTAAATTATATGATAAAATAGCAAAATATTATCCTATTTTTAATAGATTGAAATAATTATTCAAAGCAGCAGCTTTAGGAAGATGGATGTATATAAATAAAATTAAAATAAATTATTAAGATATCGTAAGGTTTAGTAGAAAAGTTGATAATTCTCCAAAAGCAATACCAATATTAAAATATGAATAAGTAGGAGAACAAAATAAAATTCCTATTTATTTCACTTAATCTGAAAAAATATAAGTGGCTAAAGAATATCTAATTGAAAAAGGTCATCCAACTACTTAAGATTTAATAAATTAAATTCTAAAATAGATACCTGATTTAAAGGGATATCAGGTATCTACTTCAGTTCAATATAGTTAAGGAGGAGTAGATACTCATTGTTAAAATATGATTGAATCTAAATAAGATCCTAAATTAGATAAATTTAAAACTTTGGATGAAGTTGACATTCCCTTTTTTCCTTAAAAAAAGTGTACTAATTGCAATAGAATGATAGAATGCCATTTATAAAATTTAGATTAAAATTAATGTTCTATTCATAATGAATATACATGTTATTTGTGCTTAGATTTAATTACAAATTAATAACTTAATCCAAAAAGTTGTATTATCAATAATTATAGGTATATTTTTCATTAGAACTGTTACAATGAATATTAAGAGATTATAAATAGAAAACATGATGATGATGATGATTTATATTGAATTTTATTCTATAATATATTTATTTGTTAAATTTCCTAAATACTCATAAGATTTGTTCGAATTTAAAAAATGATATTGCCTATATATTATGATTTTAACTTAACTTTGATTGTTCTATTGTGAAACAGTTTGATGATAACCTAAATATAATCCTCCAATAAACCCAAAAATACTTATTAGATGTCATTAATTTGGTGTTTTAAAGCGAAAATTTTCATATGGTTCAAAATACTACCTAGTTTAAAATATAAAAGCTGAGAAGTTTTATGAATATCTAATAATATTAACATAGAAATGATAAGTAAACTACACTAATACATGAATTGAAGGATTTCACTTTATATATAATAGGACAATAATCAACCTTTTGAGAAAGTGAAATTAATCTTATCCTTAAAAGTATATAAGATTTAAATAAACTTGAATATAAATAAATCCAAAAAGTTGTAGGAACTAATTTATTATTTATCATATTTTATATAACCTTAATTAATAATACTTACAACTTTGATAAATGAAAAATTAAAGATCCAACTAGAGTTGATACAAAAAACAACTATTTCAGCACTTTCTATGACAACTACTAAAATATTACAAGCTCAAGAAACAAAGTATTATAAAATAGTATATAAATTTTATAAATCTACATTCAGAAATTAAATTATTAAATATTATCATCTAAATAAAAACATTATACAAATTATTTGAATTGTCGTCATTTATAATGGATAATAAAATATTCTTAGATACTTTCATTAAAAACTAGTGAATTCTTGATTAAATTACTTTACATATCAGCGATAATCAATCATAATAAAAACTTATTCTGCTGACTTCATTACAAAAGATAAGTAAATTCATCCTTTATTTGAACTTGTCTCTGATTAATTTTAAATAGATAATGAAACTTAATTGACAGTATTATTTCTAGATTAATGCAATCCTACAACTATCCACTTTAAATGAATATTTGTAGGATTTAACTTTATCGTCTTTGTTATTTAATAATCATATTAATTATACGTTTATTTTAAGCTTTGGCTAACTGACTTGATATTTTGAGAATTACAACAAAAATTAAATTTTCTAATTTAACACATTTTTAATTGAGTCATTAAATCTTTAAATTTAGAGAACTTTAATCCTTTGTTAAAAACCTCATGAATGGATAGAGTTATCATAACTACCAGATGTTAATTTAGTACTATTAAACAAATAGCAAGTTGATTCCATAGATATGAACATTAACTATTGATTTATTATTATCCTGTTTTAATTTTATATTAATAAAAATCTGAAAGTAATATCTTCAACTATAATAGTATAAAGGGTCAGCAAAAACCTAAATTAGATGGATATAGTAGTTATGTATATTGAATTTGCTTCACTTATCTTAACATCCAATTAAAATGTACTACCAGATGCTAATATATTCCCATTAGAACATTCTAAAATGTTAGTTCCACTATCACAATCAATTTAGCTACACTAATACTTAAAATCATAATTTATTCAATTCACAGATTCTTCAGAATATTAAATTCGATTCATTTAGATTGCACCTAACAAAGTTTCTTCCTTTTAAAAAAGAATTTAGGTCTTGATATTTTAGAAAGATTGTTTCAGATGAACAATATCAATAATCATGGGTTCCCAATCTCTCTGATATACTTTCCTACTAGTTTGGGGTCTGGCAACTCCGGTCTTCTTCATCCCTTTTCGAATCGTATTCTTTAGGTGCTGAGGAAGTAGGAGTCATTTCAAGCTAACCAGTCGCCTGAGCTTTTCAAGAAACCGTGACCTTTGTTACAATAAGTCAATTTAAAAACTTTTTATTTTTTAATAATAATTTATTTTTTATGATATAAAGGTTGGAGCGATTGCGCTAATTTTTCAAATTACATACAATATTATACAGTCTTTAAATAAGTCGAATTATTTTTAGCAATAGTATAAATTATTCAAAAAGTCTTAATTTATTGATACCAAGAGTATAAAAAATAAAATATTTTAGTTATTTAAAATAACTAAAGAAATATAAGTTAAGAAATTTTGTGATTTATTTACAAATTGAATTTGACAGGAAAATATTTATTAAATTCAAGACATAAAATGGAATTGATTTGATATGAAAGAGAGTCAGAGAAATTTAGCCAAGTCATAACAATTGGAACAATCCTTATTATAGCCGATATAATTGGACACTTAAAAATACATGTCTACTTGAAAAAATGCGGAGATGCATTCAACCTCGAAATGAAAAATATCAAAGAAAAGGAGAGTCTAAGGCACAAGAGTATTAGACCGACAATCAAGAAAGATAGAACTTTCTGGATAAGCATTAAACATGGACAAATTTATCAGTTACATATAAAAGGCAAATATTTGGTAAATAATGTTTCCGATATAAAGGTGAGTTACTAATTAAGACTCTTTTGGAGTTGTATATATAATTAGGTTTTCTAAATTGATTTAAGAATGATAATTTTTATAGCAGCCTTATTAGGTTTCAAAAAAGCTAAATATAGGCAAAGTATAATATGAGAAGATGTCATATAAGGAACTATCTCATACATACATGAAAAAGTTAGTGAATATAAAATAATTCCTGAGCATGAAAATGATAATGCTTTATTATATATATCAGCTCATAAAAAAAATTTATAATATATCTGAGAATATAAACATTAAAATGAAAGATGTAATAATCTAAGGCTATATTGAAATTTAAAATTAACTTTAATTAACATATAATAATTTGATAGAAACTAAATCTTAGATATTGTTATTTTTTCAAATATTAAATATTATAATTAAATTTCATCAGAATTTATTAGCTTCTAAATTTAGATAATTCCTTGTAGGAAAAGATAGGATTTCATAAAAAGAAATAGAAATTTAGAAAAAATTGTTAAATTAATTTATGGGAAACCTTTTTGCAAAGTTTACAACTAAACATAAACCTTAGTTAATCATGTTGGGATTAGATGCAGCAGGAAAAACAACTATTTTATATAAATTAAAATTAGGAGAGATTGAAAGTTTAATTCCAATAATTGCATTTAATTTAGAGAAAATTTAAAGTAAATAATTTGATATAATTGCTTGGGATATTGGAGGAGCTGATAAAATAAGAACATTTTGGAAGCCTTACTTTTAGAATAGCAATGGATTAATTTATGTTATTGATTGTTCTGATAAATATAGAATGAGCGAAGCAAAAGAAGAATTACATAAATTGCTGCTTGATACTTTACTTCTTGGCTTACCAACTTTAATATATGCAAATAAATAAGACTTATCATAAATGAGCTCTTCTGATTTAGCTTCTGAATTAAATCTTAAAAAATTTGCTAAGAATTGGCATATACAACCTTGTTGTGCAATTACAGGCGAAGGACTTGAAAATGGTCTAAAATGGATTTAAGATTAGTTAGTACTTAAATGAAATATTTATTTTTATTAATATATCATTTTTTTGTAAATATAACTTCAATAACTATGTAAAGAACCTTACAAAAACAAGTTATATTGACATAGATTTTTTAGTTTTATTAATTTATTCTCTTAAACTGTTTCTCAGTCTTTAGAATTAGTTATTTCTGTTTCTTTCTTTAAAAAGGATATTTAAGATGAAAGAATATATTTTTTTTATTTTCTTTAGAATAATCCTTTCTCATTTACAACTTTTTGATCTTTTATTAATATAAACTTTATATTTTATTGAATAAATCTGGTGAAAAAAATTTGAATATGGTATTGGAAATTGACTTTAAAATGGTCTGAAATTTAGTTCAACAAAAGTATGTTTTTAACTCTAAATGAATCAATTTGAATACATTTTAACTTACTAAAATTGATATACACATAATTCATATAATAAAAATGAGAAAAATTTATTCATAATTGATTCAACATAAAAACCTTATATTTTTTTACAATGATGGAGATTACAAATTATTTTTTTTTTTATATTTGTTAGAACTTTGCTTAAGTTCAAACCATTATGGACCAATTTCTCCTTTTCTAAACATTTGATTGGCATTATTTCATTTATTATTTTATAAAATATTCCATCATCTTTTTAATTGAATTGTATCAGTATTGAATACATTTATTAAATTAAGAATCGATACATCGAAAGAAAATGATTTTAAAATAATATGAGACTATTTTATATAAATTGAAATCTTTGTTAATATATACTTATAAATGCTTTAGTTTAAAAAACTACATTTATAAAAATTAATGAATATTAATACTAATTTTATGAATTTATTGTTATGTAATATCTTTACTTAATTTTACAATTAATATATATTTAATAATTATTTTTCATTTTAATATTTCGTATTCTTCTAAATTAGGAGTTGATTGCCCAAATAAATGAGTGGTGTGATCTTAAATATCGTATTTGTCAATTTGATAAGCAGTTCCTAAACTAGATGAGCCATTTGTAAAATCAGAGCCAATATAAATATCGTAACCATTTCCAAATGATGGATTATAAGAGGAAGGTCTATAAATAGCATGAGCTTTGTTTGCTTCCTTAAGTGAATAAAATTAATTATGGGTTTAAGAAAATAAGAAAGATGATAATGTATCAAATTAAACATAACCATTTTGTTTTTATAACCATTAACAAGAATAGCCACCAAAAATATTACCACTCTTTGATTTAAAAATAATAAGCAAGTTAGATTTTCCATTTATTTTACTCAAGCATTTAGTGTGACTCATACCATCTATTGTTCCTAGATAAATAATTGTCTTTTTAACTGAAAATATCAACAACTTTAAGTATTTCTTTATAGTCTTTTGTCATAAATATCATCAATAGAATTCAAATTAGAATTCTGAATATCATAATTAATAATCCTTTATCTTTTTAATTATTAAATCAAATCTGATAGTGTATGATTATATATATCTTTTAATTATGAAATTAGTTTAATTACAGAACTAAACTTAAAATATCTATCGTTATTATATTAAGAAATCATTTATTTTTATAAACCTTAAAATTCTTTCCATTTTATATTTGCATCTTCTATTGTAATATATTCCCTTCTTGGAAATTATTATATACATTTTTTACAAGCCAAACCATTTTATTCTAATTAATCTTGATTTAAGTTCATCATCATAATTTTCTTCCCATTTTGATTACATAATAATTATAATGTTGGTGTTTCCTAATTGTATAAGTTTATAAATAATTACGTGCTTATTAAATCTTCTCTTAAAAGAGGGTTAACCTAATTTAAATAAAGATTTTATTTGTTAAATTGATTCAAATATTTCAGAAAACTATTATTTGTTTGATATTTATAAAAGATCATTTTTTATTTTATCTAGTAATTAAACAAAGTTATCTAAATTGTATATTTATTTTGCTAGAACTTCCATAATATACCAATGATAAAGCCTCAATATTTTTATCTAAGATTAATTCATCAACTAAATTTTTATAAAATTCCATTTCTTATATTTTCTTTTATTTTATTCTATAATTTATCGTCATTGATCTTTGAGACACAAAATTAAAGATTCTGCATATTTGTTAAAGTTTCTTGGGTTTTCTACAATTCATCTTTTTTACATCTTCTTTACATTTTGTTTTCATATATTTAATCATATTAATAACTTCATTTAATAAAACTATATAATTTCCATCTATTCTTTCGATTAGACACAAGGCACATAAATATTTTTATTTTTGCTCTTTAGTTGCATTCAACAGCAAGTATCTCTAATGAATGAATTGAATAAATTTTCCTTTTATTATCACTAAAAGACATTTCTAGAAAATACAATTAAAATATTATTATGTCTATCACATTATATTTATTAAAGCTAAAATTATACAACCAAGTGTAATAAAACATTTATAATTAGTTTAACAATAAAAGTTTTTATTTGTTATTATTTAATCTCCTTCATTATTTTACTAGAAAGTTTAGAGTTAAAACTCTGAATATTCTCCTCAAGCAATCTGAAATATTATACTGAGTCAATTAATCAATAATTTCAATTTCCCTTTTTGAATTGAATGATCTAGAATTTTCTACATTATAACCATCAAAAAATATTAAACTAAAACTAAGAGAATTTAATAACATCTTTGGCCATTTTGATTATAGATACATAAAAAACTAATTAGACAACAACATAAATCTATTTGATTCTAAATAATTTCCCAAAATTAGAAGTGAACAGTGGACTCTAAACATAAATAAAATAATCAAAATGATTATAGAAAAAATAGATTATTATGAATGATGATGATTGATAAATTAATATAAAAATTGATGGATTTATTTACTTTCATACTCCATTAGATAATTCACGAATTCCAAAATGATTTGAAAATGATTAAACATAAAATTATAATTTAATTTAAATATATAAAATAAAATTTTTATTAACTCCGCATGAATATTTTCACATTATTTATATTCTTAAATTTTGAATATATCTCTTTAAGTGAGTTCATTTAATTCCAATTTTTTCTAAAAATTATTTCCAAAATTTGATCAATTTTACTTCTCATTTTTATGAATAAATTCCTGCTTTATTACCTTGGTAAAATGAATATAATTCAAAGCTTTAAATGAATATCAAAATATAAAATTTCTTTATTCTCAATATTAAATTCGAAATTAGAGATCATGATGAAATCATTAATTATTTAATGTATCTATTAAATAATAAATTTTTTAATAAATTGAAAAAGATGGTTTGTAATAACAATTGTTATTTAAATATATGATTTTAATTACTACCTTGCTTAATTTAGCTTGTAAAGCCTAAGTAATCAATAGTTAGAACTATAGCAACTAGATTTAAAGGAATAATATATAAATTAATGAGGAAGATTAGTCAATCTAAAGTTTTTTTCACCTATAGTATTTCGCCCAAAAATAATCCATTAAGTATAACAATGTATAAGGATGAGGTATGCATTATAGATTAGAGTTAAAAAATCTCAATAATAGAATAAAATAATGGTGATATCAATAAAAATTGTAATAAAGGCTTTTTCAAATTTGATGAAAAATGTTAAAGATGGTAGATATTATACTTAATAATAATAGTCCTTCAATAATTAGAGAGAATCATATTAGTTGTTATGAATGTTATAAAATCTACTCGAATGGAGTTCTTAACCAAATTGTAATACAGATCTATACTTAAATCTAAAGATATTATTATTGGAACTGAAAGCTTTTATTTTAATTTTGATAGAATAAATTTAAATTATTGTAATTATTGTTGGGAAATAATGGAAATTTAAATAATTAAAATTTATTTATATTAATATTTATACTTAGGATTTATAATTTTCTGTTAATTTTTTGAAGTTTTAAGAGTAAGTCCAAATTAATGTTATATTTGCACAATAGATTTTTGTTAAGATTATTATCTTACTTTATTAAGAATAAAATGTTATAGACATAACTTTCTAACAGCAAACTTATTGAAATCTAATTATTTATTAATTTAACAAAGAAGATTTTAAAATTGTTTGTTCATTTTGTAAGGAAAATTCTTTTATATATGATTTCACTTTAGAAAAATGTATACTGTAAGAAACTCAATTATTTAATTTTTTGAGATCTTTCATTGATCTGAATAGTTAAGAATTATGTACATTATCTTCAGTTAATTTTTTGAACTCTCCAAAAATGAATAATTGTTTTATTCACATTTTTAATTGTTAATAATGTTTATAATATCAATTAAATATTAAATGTATTATTTGTGAAAGATAAATAATGTATTTAAAATGAAGAATTGATATAAGCAAGTTAGTTATTGTAAATTTGGAGAATTTAAGTTGAATGTTTCTAGATTGTAATTCATATTTGCCTTAAGATTTCAATTATTAAATTATTGATATTAAAATAATTGTGATCCAAATTGCTTAACTTGTTAAATACAATTATTATATTATTGTGAATAATTTGGCTTAAATTATTTTAAATAAAGAATGAGAGTTCAAAGAGGGCAAAAATGTTTAGATTGCCCATAACTTTGTTAGCTTTTGTAATTAAAGGATAGAGGAGGATATCGAAGTAATTATATACAATTTAATCTTAGTTAATATCACCTTAATTTAAAATCAATGATGATAATTTAATTTACATTAAATCCTGCTATTTCAATCTTTATACAAAAATAACCAAATATTGTCTTAATTCGATATGTAATTTCATTGTTTAAATTGAAAGGGTTATTAATTTATGTGACCCTATTAGATTTTTAATTTTAACTATTATGATTATTTAGACACAGATTATTTCAATTAAATTGGAATTAATTCTATCGACTGTCTTACATACATTGATTTTTGGAAATATCAATGTTACTAATATTACTATTTTAAATACAACCATTTATAACGCTCCATTTTTAAATTTTGATCTTTGTTAATTTGGTCTTAAAATTAAGAACTTCTCATTTATAAATAACATATTGTCTAATTCTATAATAATAGGATTTAGCTATAATTTATAATTATTTTAAATTCAGGTAATAGATAATATATTTGTTGATTCATAGTTTCTTTCTACAATACAAATGCTATATGATTTGTATAAGCCTTGTTAATAAAATATTTTAAAGCAAAATCAAATAAATTTAAAAATTCTAATTTATTTCTCATATTTTCAACTTATCAATTGATTAGCCTAAGCATTGAAATATCAAATTTAATTCTTGAAACTAATCATTGAAATATCAAATTTAATTCTTGAAGAGAATTCAAAATCTATTAAAATAAGAAATTCTATGTCAAAAAGTTTTTATTAAATTACATTAGTAGTAAGTAATCTATTTACTTGTTTAACATAAATTGTTATTCAATTTTAATACAAGATGTTAAAATCATTAATTCAAATGATATTCATATATTTTACCTACTTATAAATATTAATTTAGAATGTCCTGTATGAATAGTAAGAAATCAAAAAAAAAGTTTAATTATTATAGAATTGTATTAAATAAGTTCCAATCAAATGAGGTATTAGAAATAACTGAAACTAATAATACCGTTCTTGTTTTAGAAAACTGTATTACATCTATAAATGGTTTAATTTTTAAGGAATTTTCATAGGTAGATTTTAAAATTTACAAATAACCATAGGTTAATAATACATAATTGTTGAATTGATAATATTTAAACACTTTATTCTCTTGATATCATATACATTAATTAAAATATTTAATTAAGGTCAATAATTTATTTTAATTAACTCAGTATATCTAAGGTAAGTCTACTTGAGACCAATTTAAACATAATTATTCAAAATAAAAACGATAGTTGTTCTATTCTATTAGGATGTACTTTAGATGAATAATCTGAGATGTAGAAGAATAACATAATTCTCTAAAAGAGAGCATAATAGCATTAAACTTTATCTATAATATTTGAGGACATGGAGTGGTAAATTAGTTATTAAATAATAATGTTAGATATTCTATAACATATATTTTTTCATATTTAAATTGATAAGGTTTTATTTAATTTATTTAACCATATAAAGAATTAAATTCTAAGAATTTCTTAATAAAAGATACAATTATTATGAATAGTAGAGTTTAGGTAGGAGGAGGAATATATTTAGCTAGTGATGCTAATTTGATAGATTCAATTTTAATTTACAATACTGCAAATATTTATGGTAATAATATAGTAGAATAACCTACTCATTTAGCTTTATAAATAAATGATAATAAATGGCCATCTTTCATTTTAATGGCAAATAATACAAAACCCAATGTATTAAATCAATAACTTTATAAAAAAATAAAATAAAGCATTTAAAAAATATCAAGCATCTAATAGTTACAATGAAATGTTATTAGAATTTAAAGATTTTTCATGTAATATATTTGAATATATTTTGTCAAATAATTTTAATGGGGGATTGATTTCAAGGAAAAATTAAGCTTAATAATTTAATTAATAAAAAAATTGATTTGATATTGATCCATACAATTAAAGAGAAAATTATCTATAAATTTAATTAACTTGTCATTCAGGCACATCAAATAAAACTTTAAAATATATAATAAATGCAAATAACTTTAAATGTTATTTTGGAGAGTTCTATATAAATAATGGATGTTCGATTTATAATTCAAATCAAGGATTTTATTCATTGACATATAATAATGTTAAATGTTCAATTTTTGATAAAATGAGTTCTCATGAACTTAACAGCAAATATGATATAATTATAAGAAGGTAATTGGAGACCAAATTATTATTTCCATTTTTCTTAATTAAATTTTAAAATTTAGATTTCTATAATGGGGGTTGGTAACTAATTATGTAAGTTGAACATATTGGAGGTTTATGCGAGGAATGTGATGTAGATAATATTATTGGTAATGGATATTACTTTAAGAATTAATGGGATCTAATTTGTTTCAGTTGTTTTGGAATTGATAATGGAACTCTTCCATTTCTATTAGCCTTAATTTAGAATTAGTTGATTTTATATTATTTAAAGCTTTAATATTTATAACTTTATAACTTTGACTTTGAGAAGTATTCAAAAATCTAATAGATTATTTGCATCTTTAAAAATTGGATAAAAGTTTAGTAATATAATATATAGATTAAATCAAGATATATTTATAATTATAATTAATTATCAGATCATGAAACCATATTAATTAAAATGTTTTAAAATATATGTGGATATTCTCTGTCATTTTCACTTTTAATATTAATTTTTAGTTTTAATTTACCTTAATTGATTCAACTAGTAATAGTTTTGACTTTATGGCATACAATTTAGATTGTTATTCACTAAATTTTTGGATTCATTTAATATATTTACGAATCTTTTTGATCTTATTTTTAATGTTGATATAATTTTACATAATACTTAGAGCATCATTCATTTATTAAAAATTACAAATCGATTATTACGTCCTATTGACAATATTACTCTATTTATTTGTTTTTAATTATGGAGGATTAATTAAGATGTATTTAAATTTTATTTTAAATTATATTAAGCTATGTTCAATAGTTTAAATTCGAAATATTTCAAATATTAAATATATCTAAGCACCTTATATTGATTACCTATTTAAATAACAATACTTGGATTATTGTTATTTGGATGTCTTATACTTTTCGATTTGTTTGTATTGATGTATGCTATTTTCATTATCTTAATAAATTAATGAATTTTAAAAACATTTTTATTACTTTTTTTAAAAAATATTTCTTTAAAAATCTATTTAATTTTGATATTACTTTTTTAAGTAATATTTTTTAAAGGCCACTTTCTCTTTTGATTCCATCTAATTTAACTTATAAAATGAGCTAGTAATCTAATCAAATATCTGAATGGAGAATTCTCCTAAAGCACACTAAACCAAACCACCAATTATTTGGAATGAATTAGAAAAAAATCCCCAAAAATTATTATACAATTTTGACCAAATACTTTCATCTTTTATTTGTTCATTTAGACAACAAAATTCCCAAACTAAAATATAGTGAAGCTAAATGCCTAATGAAAAAAATTCCCTTGCCAAATTTTGATAGTTTTTCTTTAAGTTCAAAGCTCATTGTTGGTTTCTTTAAATTGAATAACAATTTTCATTATATTTAATCCCCTATTATAAATTGATTATGAAATTTCTTTCAAGGCATCATCAAATTTTTTTTAAAAGATTCTATCATGTCCTTTTCTAAGGTTAATAGCGAATTACTCAAAATTGAATTTTAAATGATAAAAATCTTAATCACAGCAAAATTTTGCCTCATCTTTTTACGATTATTGCTCTCTATAGAGAAATTAATTAAAATTTTTATTATGAATAGTTATATTCTATATTACAGTATATATTTTTAAATTATAAAAATATGTAAAATAAATTTCTAATATTTCTGGACTATGAATTAAATTTTTATCTCATTAAAAATTTAAATTAGATCTCTCAAAATTCATAGTACTTTGTGGTTAATTTTTATTGTACATTTAGAGTCAAAAATTTTTCATGTTAATGTTAATATTTTAACTAAAATATTGTTAATGATAATATTTAAATTAAAATATTTTCTCAAACAAAGAGAATCCTTAAAATTTGATTCTCATTTATCTTTAGTTTGCATAAATTATTTGGGCTTTCCACTAAGAAAATAAAATACTTTTGAAATATATTTAAATAATATATTAAATAGCTATTAGTTATACTTAACATAATAAGTTAATAAATAAATTGATGATGATCAAAAACTTTACTTTCTTTATGGTTAGGATTCAATAAATTGATTTAAAAAATTAATTGATTAATCCTGTTTTGTTTTTTCTAAAGATTGGTGGGCTTATGAATTTTGTTCTAAGTTAAATAGTTTCTCGTATTAAGCTTTTAAGTTTGATTCTAATAATTTAATCTTCTCTCTATCATTATTAAATTAATCTGATAATCCTCTCTCTCTCGACATTAAATAAATATAAAATAATTAATATTAAAATTTAATATAAAATGATGATTAATAATTAGAGACACAAAAAATCATTCAGTTTCAATTTATTAAGGCTTAATCTGTTGTGGATTTTGTTTAATTTCTTAAAGTTATTATTTAACTTTCAATTCTTGGCTAAAAGCAACAATATCTTCTAATTAATTAATTTTACCAGCATAAGAAATGTATTTTAAAACATTATCACTCATACCATTAATAAGGAAACAACTTTTACTTTTGAGATCATCACCAAAACTAACTTATTTTCCATAACCAGAAATATCCATAAAAAAGAATTTAGCTTCTGAATTAACACCTTTTAAATAATCCTGAAATACATTTTTCATATCCAAACCATTTTCTGAAAATCCTCTTGTAACCATCATATCACTTAATATCACTATATTATCTGCTCTTATTTTTGGTTTTAATAATACATCATTTATGGTTTATCCTATCATTTCATGAGACCCACATAATTCTGTACTTTTAGTCTCACATCTCTTAATTCCTTGTAATAAAGTATCATTTTCAAAATTAACTTTAGTATATGGATGTTTGGTTGATTATGGCGCAGCAAACAAATAAAATTCACATTTTTCGCATTTAATTCTAATTAAATGAGCCAAAACAAAAGCACATGTCATACATTAATTAACTGATCCATACTTCTTTCCACCACTAATTGGACTACGCATTGAACCACTTACATCAACAAATACATAAGTA